GCCACCTCTGTAAGTGCAACAGCAAGTAGACCCTGTGGCTGGGGTGTAATTCTCCTTTGACACCTCTGCCGGTTTCCCTAAAACTTGGTTGCATCCTTGAAGAAGTTGCTCATTCATAAGGGGCAGAGCTAAGTTCGACCAGATTTGGGAGCTTTTGTTAGTCAGTGCCATTTGATACTTGGTGGTAGAAATAATGCAGAACACAGCTCCTCACCATTACTAACAGCTAATACAGATTTTAAGATAAAACCATTCTTTTGAGAATAGGTCATTTTTATTAGATCAAACGAAGGCTGATTTTGCCATTTACAAGACCTTAAATATATGACTTTCAAAAAGAGACTGTAAATTATTTGCCTGTTTCCTTCTCACTCCAACACATGCACAGGTTTCTGCCAGCACTCTCAAAATATTAGTCACGATGTCTTATTAAATACTACCATCTATGGAGGTGAATTAAGCAGACCACTCACTCATCTGTCTTCCTGTTCCCTCTTCCTCTTCCACATCAAACCAGAGGAACTTGAAGACCAGGCAAGCTGCCTTTTGGTCCACAGGGCTCAAGGTTCACATTCCTCTCATCCCAATATAACTCCAGAACCTTGACTTTGGTGGAGTCCATTACGGTCTCCCTAGTGATCCTCTCTGACTGCAATGACCTTGGGGACCCACAGCTCCAAACCACCTGCGTAGCCGGTGCTTACTCAGCACAGGTGAAGGGGAGATAGGAGCGGGTTCCTGGGTGTCTGGTATCATCATCCCATAGTTAGGATTTCTGTTGGTTCTTTGACCATTTGTAAGAGAGTATTCCTGAGAGATAGGTGTCCAGTTAACTGGAAAAGCACAGGTTCACGAGTAAAAATTGTAGCGCTTCAGGGCATTCTGTTTAAAGAATGCCATCCAATGTAAATCTGTACTTAGTGAGTTTGACCAGTAATGAACTATCAAATCCAATAAATCCAGAGAAAGGTAAACTAGATAAGAAATGAATTTTGCTTTGGGAGAAGGAAATAGTTAAAATAAAAGCTAAGAACTGAAGTTTACTGATGTACAGAGAATATCTTCCTTACCCACTGATGGAATTCTTTTTTTTTTTTTTTTTGGTAGTACTTGGGGTAAATTCAGGGGCTTGTGCCTGCTAGGCAGAAGGCACCCTACCACCTGAGCCACTCTGCCAGCTCACAGAGGAGGTTTTCATTCCGCATCCTCCACCCTCAGTGAACAGCCCCGCCACCCACTCAGTTTCCCAAGACACAAATCGGATGTTGTTTTTGGTTTTCTGTCTGTGTCCCCATGCCAGGCACTCTTGAGAGATCAGAAATAACTTTCATCCAGGGTTTTAAAATTGTATTTTACACTTTCTGCATGGCTGCAGAGAATGGAGCTCCTTGCCTACTCCTTTGTGTGGGTTTCCTCCAGCTGAAGAACTCAAGTCAGAATTCCACAGTGACAGTGTCTTCAGTGGATCGATCTCATTCATTGTGCTGGCCACCCTCTGGATCCTTTCCATCTAGTTTTATGCATCTTTTAGTTCTGGGAGTTTTCTTGTAGTATTTCTTACTTCACTTTTTGGTGCCTGTGGTTGGTGGACAGTTGTTTTGGATTCAACTTTAATTTTCTCCTGTTTTTCTCAGTTTCCTTTCTGCTGTATTGTTAAATGTTTTTAAATTTAGCTCCCATGTTTTTAAGTCAAGAGGTCCCTGTCATTCTCTGAGGATCCAGTTAGGCTGCAGGTTTCCCCGCAGGGACAGGGTGACTGACATGGTGACTTGTCTTCTGCCTGGAGCACAGTCCCCATTCACCTTTGAAGCTGGAGGAACTGATGCTAGGTCTGTCTTTCCCTGTTTCCCACCTATTCCCCATGCCTCAGGCCTGCAGGCTGCATCCTTCCAGGGAGGCCCAGTGAGCCCTTCTGTGACCTCAGGGCCGAGCTCAGTGCTTGTTTTCTAAGTAGCCCGCATCTTTGACCTTCTGCCGTGCGTGGTGCTTCCCAATCCTGAGCCTCTTGGGGTTGTGCAAGGAACAGCCTTGCCTCCCATGTATTTCCCACTGCACACCTTTAGCTTCACCCTCCTGGGCCCTGTTAAACCCCTATTGCTGTCCTGCTCACCTGCCAAACTTGCATATGTGACTTAGTCTTGGAGGCCTCCATGTTTTGTTCACAGTGGAGGTGGTTTGTGTTTCCTGTGCTTCAGTGATGATTTCGAAAGCGTCTGAACAGTTTTCATATGTGCTACATGTGTACCCTGGAAGTACGTTCTTGAAAAGAGCTCTGCCTTACTACAGCAGATTTCTAAGAGTGCGAATGTTAAGCAGCTCTTCATGGTGACCTGGAATGTGAGGGAGAAGTGCCGGCTTCGGATGCTGAGGGCTAGACCAGCGCGGTCAGTGAGCGATGGCCCTGATCCTCTCAGTGGACCTCCCCTGCCTCCCGTGTTCCAGTCTTTACTGTACATGTGGCTGTGTAGGCTGACTTGGGGCTTAGAGAAATGTGACTTAAATGCTGGTGTTTAGACCAAAGGGTCGCGAGTACCTAGCTAATCATTTGAGCACGTGGATGGCACTCACGCAGGGTTTCAGAGAGTGACATGGCAACCTAAGCCACCTCTGCCTTTGACATGATGGGACACCAGGCTTTCCTGGTCTGTGACAGACAGGTCTGCTAATTCTTTTTCACATTTCTTGAACTCAGTAGAACAGATCACCTGTTCCTCTGATTCCTGACTGTTACTGTGGTTGTAAATACCTGTTGACATTGTGTAACAGAAGCACTCAAAATCTGTGACAAGTTTATTTGCCACCCGTGTTCAGTGTTCTTGGTTCTGTGTATGCATTAAAGGTGTTCAGGTCTGTCCTAGAAGTTTGCAAAGATCTGGAGAGACAGGACATGGACTGAAATGCCTAGCGGTGATACCTGCCAGTTAGCCAAAAGCATGAGGCCTGATCAGATTGACCCAGCCTGGATTGTATAGACAAGGCCATCATAAGCTAGGGCTGGGTGCTTCCTGCAGTTGTATGGCTTACATCAGAAAGGTGTCTTCTCACAGGCCAAGTGACCACTGAGGGCCAGCTACCCTCCATGGTCCCTGGACCTGAGTCCACCCAGGGCACCTGTACAGACGCATGCCTCTTTTCAAGTTTGCATCAGCATTGCTCATCTTTGTGCTAGTCACCAGAGTTAGCAAATCTCATGGAGGAGGTGGAATTTGAGCCAAGATGTGGACCAGATTGGAAAGTGTGATGCCAGCAGGGCCACAGAATAGACCAGCCGGTTAGTAGATAAGACAGGTGCCGGGGACTGTGGGCAGGCCAGTCTGTTGATTGACAGGTGCCTCTGCAGCACAGCTGTCCAATAGAAATATGTAATTTTTGAGCTTACAGTAGCCATATTAAAAAAAAGAAAAAGAAACAGATGGAATTATTTTAATAACATATTCTAATTTAATATCCCCAAAATATCACCAATACAATATCCAGTAAGTACTAAATACAGTGCACTAGTTTACATTTTGTATACTTACACACTGTCTCCACTGGGATGGCAAATGCTTATCTTGAGTACCTGCTGTGTTTAGATTTCACAAAATTTATCATTATAAAAGCAGATTGACATATCCAGGTTATGCCAAACATACCTTTAAAAAATGAATCTAAGTATCAGTTTTAATTTGAATAGTGAATGAGAAATCACTCTTCCTCTGTTCCACTCGCCATGTCCATGTGCTCAGCACTCATAGATTGGGGGACACTCAGTAGCCACATAGCCCTGGAGGATTGTGGGAAACTCAGTGCCTGTCAAGGTCACCCAAGATTTCAGAAGGCAGCCAGGTGCGGGTGGCTTATGCCTGTAATTCCAGCTATTTGGAAGGCTGGAACTGGGAAGATTGTGGTTTCAGACAAGCCAGGCAAAAAAAAGTTTACAAGACCCCATCTTAACGGAAAAAAGCTGGGCATGATAGCAGCTACAATGTGAAACATAAAATAGGATTGTAATCCAGGCCGGCCTGGGCCAAAGGCAAGACCCAATCAAAATAACCGGAGCAAAAAGGGCTGAAGGCATGGCTCATACAGTAAAGCCACCTTCCTCGCAAGCACAAAGCCCTGAGTTCAGACCCCAGTATCACCAAAAAAAGATTTCAGAAGGCAAATCTTCTGTGGATTTGTAGTAAGAAGGAACTAGAACCAGGGAAAGACAGAGAAAGCAGTTAGGATCCACCAGCTCAGCTTCTCTTCCCTACATGGACTGACCACCGTCGTGCTGCCCTAACCAGAGGCTCCCCTACAGCACAGAGTGGGCAGAAGGAAGCTTTGCTGTCCTATCTCATAAGGGTTTTCTTAATCCTCAATGGAGAGGTGGTTGAATATGGTGACCTGCATGTGTTCAGAGACATAGCGTGACGAGCTTGGGCACACATGTAACAGTCGCCACAAACAAGAAAGGAGCATTTGCCTTACCCCTGCGAGCTCCCCGGGCTGCTGTGCCGTGTCCAGTTTCTGGCTCTGTGGGCAGGACTGTAAGCCATGTCCAGCTGTGGTCCGGCTGCATGGCTCTGAGCAGGTGTTCAGTGTCTGTGCATTTAAAATGCTTAACAGCCGTCAGTGTCCAAGAGGCCTGTTGTACGAGGTGCCAGTCCTTCCCATTGGTGCGGGGTCTGGAAGCAGTAGCTCCCCACATAGGGAGTGGAGTATTTCTGTGCCTGTGCCCTCAGTCACACTGGCAGCCACCCTACCTCCTCATCAGCAGTGTGAAGCAGTGTGTGAATCAGTCTCAGGAAAGCCACGGTGGTCTTTTAGTACCTGATCTGTAGTTGCTGGCACAAGAGGACCTGAACTGTTTAGGAACACCCAGGGATCTTATTTTATTATAAAATCAAACTGAGATCAGGAAGCACTGCAGCTCCCCGTGTGGCCTTGGGTACAGCTATGAGTAAAGCCATGACGGGCCAGGCCCATAGTTCACCAACACCATGCCTTTTCACCTTCTCTTCTTGACTCACCAGGGGGTGTTCAGAGCTGTGTCGGATCCCCATGGTGGAATACAAGCTGGATAGCGAGGGCACACCCTGCGAGTACAAGACCCCGTTCAGGAGGAACACCACGTGGCACCGCGTGCCCACCCCTGCCCTGCAGCCTGTCTCCAGAGCCTCACCCGTGCCCGGCACACCTGACCGCCTGCAGTGCCAGCCACTGCTGCAGCAGGCCCAGGCTGCCATCCCCCGCAGCACCTCCTTCGACCGGAAGCTGCCTGATGGCACAAGGTAATGCCACACCATTCCTAGGACAGCCCGTGAAAGGTGGGGTCAGAGCCACAAAGTGTAGCAAAGGCCTTTTACTGTCCTAACAGCATCTGGGTAAACTTGCTCTGAACTATTGGCAGGCAGGGCCACGGGACGGGCCTCAGACCCAGTGACACTCCGAGTCCACTCTTTTCCTGATCCCACATGGAGCCACCAGGCACCCGCCCTCCAGTACTGACCCTACAAACCATCGTAGGGAAGACACCCCAGAACTCTTCTGCAGGTGTCTCTGGAAAAGCATGAACATGTTTGGTTGCAAATAAAGTAAAATGAAATCCCGTCACCCCTACGCAAGCGGTGTGTTGCTGAAGCACTGCCACCATCAATGCTCTGCTTTTCTCCCTTCTCCTGTGCAAAGTGAGTTGAGTCTAAAATGACCCTTGGTGAAGGAACGCACTGTTTCACATGAAGGGGTGCCCAGCCTGCACAGGTTGTGTTAAGGGAGCAGAATAGTGGGTTAGCTCTGCTGTGTAGTTCTTTCCTGCTCCTCTTGCTCTGACTGTCATGTGTCTTACAGCCAGGTAGCTGCATGAGTGTCCTTTAGGACAGCTTGCAGGCTCTGATTGGATAGGCTTGTTAGCAAGGTCGTGACTCTAGCTTACCTGCTGTGCCATGCCCTGGGCCTGTCGCTTCTCTCTGAGACTCCAGTTTTCTCATCTGGCAAATAAATGTAACAGTGATACAGACCTCAGCAGGGCACTCTGAAACCGAATGCAATGCTACAGGTGAAATGCTCAGAGCCAGGCCTGGCAACCAGGAAGCCTAGAGACGTACTAACAGAATTAACAAGATGACAACATGGTTGTCCTCTGCCTTCTCTAGTGCACCCTTCCAGAGCAGAGGCAGGAATACTTTCTCTTGACACTAAGTCACTGTGGCCCTGGGCCTCCTTGCGTGAGACTCGTCTGGATCCATGAGCTCTCCATGTTCAGAGATGTGCACAGAACAAGGGGCAGCCACAGCCAGTCATACCCAAAAGAAGGGGTCTGCAGAACTCCCCTCCCCGCTCATTTAGGCGGAGGTTAATGAATTTCAGGGAAAACCAGGAGGCCTCTGGTAACTTGGAGGGAGCACGACACACACATCGACATCAAGTGAGTTTTCAACATGTCTGAGAAGAGATAAATAGCTGTGTGGAAATAAATGATTTTGCCAAATTTCAGCTGTGTCATACACATAGTTTTTAGGTGTAGAGCCAAACCATGACTTGCATTAAGTTTTGTGTGACAGGTGATAGTTAAGTTTAGACAGCAAATGCCTTTCCGAGCACATTCCTCTGTGACAAATGGCAACTATAAACACTGGAGGCTCAGGGCACTGCTGACTCAGTTTCTCTCTGATTTAGCCTATTTGGTGATGCTGTGTGTTTCCTTCCTTCTCTGTGACATAGTCACACTGAGTTTGTTGGTAAAGAAGCCAGGGCCACTGGATGCCTGAAAGCTGGCCCAGTGCACTGATAATGATTCTAGTCCATCTTTCAGAAGTTCTCCCAGCAACCAGTCATCCTCCAGCGACCCAGGACCCGGCGGGAGCGGACCCTGGAGACCGCAAGTGGGATATGACGGGTATTGCTCTGTTCTGCCTTTCTGCCTCCCAGGAGGAAGCCGTGACACGTTCAAAAGTTTCACGGTCCACATGCTACACACGAGACCATTGTGGGGATGTAAAAAGTGCCAGGCATGCTTCCCATAGGTGGCTGGTCCAGGTCAGAGAGCTCCATTTCTGTGTAGACAGTGCTCAGTGGTCTGTGTTCTGAGCCTACTTTTTCTTTTTGATAAGGAAAGGTTTTCTGAACATAGAAGTTAAGGATTTGGAGACTCTGACTCTGTGATAGAGGCCCTTGGGAGTTTCCCCCTGACTTAATTTGCCCCTCAGAATCAGAGAAATGGAGTTAACGTTCGAGGCATCTCTGCTTCCTGTTGGAGGAGCAGTGAGGGTCTCAACACACTTAGCTGGGCACAGCCCTGGCCTGTGTGCTGGTCTCCAGGAGCCAGCAGCTCAGCCATAACCTGAGGACTCAATGAACGCAGAGTCACTGGTCCACAGCCTCTGGGAGGAAAAGAGCAGAAGTTTTGTGTGACATCCTCAAGGTGGTCTGCCCCAGCAGCAGGGCCTAGAGTACAGCTCCACGCCACAGTGTTTAGGAGCTGGGCGCTGATGTGGACAGGGAGGCCATCCATGGGAGGCCATGGATGTGAGGAAAGCTGTGGCATCACCTCCCAGGTGCAGGGCAGAGCTCACCCCTGGAACCCCATCTCTGGTTTGGGCTCAGAAGTAGATACGTGTACATGAATTCCTCACCTTAGGTTTTTAAGGTTGTATGTCAAGTAATTTTTCTAAATTAAGTTACATACTGAGCACAGGGGGGTAGCTTTTTGTTGTTTTATGTTCTTTTTTGTTGTTTTTGTGTAAATGGTAAAAGCTTTCCTGGCTTTTTCTGTTACCTAGGATCATAACCTAGGTTCTATAAATAAGGATCACATTGTAATGTGGATGGGTTGCATTTGATTTGTTCCTTTCCTAAGGTTATACATTCCTATTTTAGGTTTCCATAAAACAAAGCCCACCTGGATGTAGTCTAGAGTTGATCTTGTTTTCTTTTCTTAAAAAACTTAGCATACAGACGTACCTGTGCCATGTGTACTAGGCACCAGGCAAACTAATCAGCCTCAAGCTCCTGATAGCACAGGGCGGTGTTTGATGCCAGACAGTCCTTTAGTATCCTGCTGTTGGCAAGCCGTCTTTACCTGTGAAAGGCTGTCATGTAAGCTCCCTTACTGGCTCCATGGTAGAACTAGATCTCCCACTTCCTCAGGTTTCAGCTTCTCTCGCAGGGTGGGGCCAAGATACTGTATTTCCATTTGCCAGAAAACTTTCCTGCCAGGGCTTCCCCTTGCTCAGCCCCTGTAGAAGCCTAGCACTCTGTCCCTGCTGGCAGTTGTGGGGCAAGAAGGGACAACTTAGCTCAGCTTCTTTCCAGGTGCCCGTCCCCTCTGCTGCTCGAGCACCAGGGCCCAGGTGCTTTGGAGTGTGATGGAGCCAGGGAGCGTGAGGAAGTCATGGAAGGAGGCAGGCACCCAGGTAACAAGGAACCCTAGGGAGTGACCTCCCTGTTCTTCTTCCTTCACCCTCCATCATGCATTTGGTCATCCACTCAAGCCACCTTTGGTGTGGACCAAGCTGGAGTGATCTGGGTCTCCTGATGTAGGAGGAGTTGCTGTGGTATTTGTGGGATGACTATGGGTAGCTGTGGGTCTGGATGAGGGTGGCTGTGGTAGGTTATGGTGTGTCTGTGGTTGGCTATGATGTGGTTGTGGGTGGTTCTGATTGGTTATGGTTTGTTGTAGAGTAGCTGTGGAAGGCTGTGGAGTGGCTGTTGGTATTTGTGGGGTAGATATGGATGGCTGTGGGTCTGGATGTGGGAGGCTGTGGTAGGTTATGGTGTGGCTGTGGTTGGTTGTGGTGTGGCTGTATTGGTTGTAGTATAGCTGTGATTGACCATAGTTGGCTGTGATGGTTGTAGGTGGGTGTGATGTAGCCATGTTTGATCATAGTGTAGCTGAGGTTGATTGTAGTGTAGCTGTGATTGGCTTATCTGTGGTTGGCTATGGTCTGGTTATGGGTGGTTGTGGTGTTGCTATGGTTGGATATGGTTGGCTGGGAGTGTTTGTGGGTGGCTGTAGTATGGCTGTGGTTAGCTATGGTTGGTTGTGGTATGACTATGGTTGACTTGCTATGACTGGCTGTGGGTGGTTGCAAAGTGGTTTTTGTTGGCTGTGGTTGGTGGTGGTGTGGCTACACTTGGCTTGGCTGTGGTTAATTACAGTGTAGCTGTTGGCCATGTTGGGTTGGCTGTGGGTGGTTGTGGTTTTGCTGTGGTGGCTGTGGGTGGTTTGAGGTAGCTATGGTAGGCTTAGCTGTGGTCGGTTGTGGTGTGGCTGTGGATGGTTATGGTGTGGCTGTTGGTTGCAGTGTGGCTATGGTTGTATGGTTGTGATGTGGCTATGGTTGGCTATGGGTGGTTGTGGTTTTGCTGTGGTGGCTGTGGGTGGTTTGAGGTGGCTATGGTAGGCTTAGCTGTGGTCAGTTGTGGTGTTGCTATGATTGGTTCTGGCTTGGCTATAGTTGGCTGTGTGTAGTTGTGGTACGGCTGTGGATGGTTGCAGTGTGGCTGTGGATGGTTGTGGTGTGGCTGTGGGTGGTTGTGTGGCTATGGGTGGTTGTGGTGTGGCTATGATTCGTTGTGGTATGGCTGTGGATGGTTATGGTATGGCTGTTGGTTGCAGTGTGGCTATGGTTAGTTGTATGGTTGTGATGTGGCTATGGTTGGCTGTGGGTGGTTATGGTTTTGCTGTGGTGGCTGTGGGTGGTTTGAAGTGGCTATGGTCAGCTTAGCTGTGGTCGGTTGTGGTGTGGCTATGATTAGTTCTGGCTTGGCTATAGTTGGCTGTGGATGGCTGCGGTATGGCTGTGGATGGTTGCAGTGTGGCTGTGGTTGGTTGTGGTGTGGCTGTGAATGGTTGTGGTCTGGCTGTGGGTGGTTGCGGTGTGGCTGTGGGTGGTGGTGGTACAGCTGTGGGTGGTTGTGGCACAGCTGTGGGTGGTTGTGGTGTGGCTGTTGGTTGCGGTATGGCTGTGGCTGTTGGTTGCAGTATGGCTGTAGTTGGTTGTGCTGTGGCTGTGGTTGGTTGTGTTGTTGTGTGGCTATGGTTGGCTGTGGATGCCTGTGTTTGACTGTAGGTGGCTGTGGTTGTGATGACCATGGAAATAGAAGACTTATTCTGTGGAGTAGTTGTACCTATTCTTTTAGTATATCCTTTGGTAGCAACTGTAAGACCTAGAATCACAATCCTGCTCATTTGTCCCAGACCATTTATTTGACTTCTGTTTTTCTTTACTCTTGCTAACACTGCAAATTGGGAACTCAGTTCTCCTCTCTTTGTGCAACAGAAACCAAATGGCATGGCCCACCTTCTAAACACTTGAGTTCCTACAAAGAAAGAGCCCTGCAGAAAGATGGCAGCTGCAAAGACTCCCCTAATAAGCTTTCTCATGTAAGTCCTTGGTTCTCGGCCTGTTGTTGCTTAGCCAGGACTGGCTGATACATCTCAGTATACCTGTAGCTTGCCTGTTGGCAGTGCTCATCACATAGGGCTTTTAGAGAAGAGATTAAAAAAGAAAAAATGAAATAAGGGATTTTTTTGGTTCCACTGATTTATAAAAGACCTCACAGAAAGGTCACACAGAGATCACTGGCAAAGTCAAGGCCAGACCTCAGCATGAGCCTCTATGTCCTTGGTGGTAGTTAGGAAATCTTGACCCACACTTCATCCCACTTCACACCTGATACAGAAACAGAAACTAAAGCCATGTATGTGGTCAAGGAGCTGTGCAGTTACCAGGTACACAGGGACCACGCTGCAGCCTGCTGACAGTGAGTGGTGTGAGAGCCACACCGCAGGCCATTCCCACCTTCCCACATGCTGGGAGGCGAGCCCCAGAGGAGACTGGGCCTCGGAGAACAGAACTTTCAGTTAAATGCAGAAAGAGGAGTTTTTGGTTGACTGTTTCCAAATAAAGTCAATGTGTTAAAATAGTTTTGAAAATGTGCAGGTTGAAGTAGTTTACAGGCTCCCAAATCAGGTTCTCACCTCTTCCCAAGCTTGTCATCAGCAAGCTTTCCCATAGTCCCTCAGCAAACATGTGATGCTTCTTGCTGCAACTATGGCTGTGGCCTGGTCTTGAGTCAGCATTAACCAGGTCCACTCATATCCACCTGTGTGGTGCTCACACTGTGGTCCCAGCACAGGGAGGCAGGGCGGGGGCACAGGCTGAGATCAGCCTGCAACTAATAGGCCGGGTTGCTGAGGATCTGATGGGATGGAATGAGAAGAAAAGAGGCCATGCCATTTTGAAATCATGTGGAACGGGGCTCGTTCTTATGACCAGAGTCCTTCTGCTTTTCCAGGCCATGCTGAGGGCCATGTCTATCTGAGCATGTTGGACCGTAGGGGACTTTTATTCTGTTCTGATTGCCTCTGTCTTCCATGGACCCCACAGCACTGAGTCTTTTTCAGACCAGTTGCTGTAATGATAGCCCCTCTCTTCAGCCCTCAGGATGTTGTTTTGCTTGATTGCAGGCTCACATCCACGTGGTGCCTCCTCACTGCCAATTGTTTCTTGTTCTCTGTGGTGTGCATAGGAGCCAGGTGGCACCTTAAGCAGTGCAAGGGTCAAGCGACCGATCCAGTGTCTGCCCTTGTGATTCACACCTGACTCTTCTCCCCTAGACCCAGAGCTGGTGCCATAATTTGTCATAGAAGCATCTTTTTACGAATGGCCACCCTCCTCTTGTGCCCCTCCCCCCAAATAATCCGCCTCCCCCACCGCAACCCGCCTCCCCCCCATAACCCGCCCATGGCACTGTGGCCCACCCTTTGTGCTTCACGTAACAGCAACTGAACAAAGGCTTAAAGCAAAGGCGCCCACTTCGCTGAGGTGTGGGTGGGATTATGAAGCAGGACCTCTGTGTGACCAGGCTCTGGAGAAAAGAATTCTGCCACTGTCCACACAGAGGAAGGACTGGGGGGGCTCAGGTGAGGCCCTGGCTGCAGCTCTGCATTTGGCAGGAAGCAGCAAGTGGGGACATACTCAAAGGCTCTCTGCTCCTCTCTCCTCTCCAGCTCGGAGACAAAAGCTGCTCCAGCCCCTCCAGCAGCAATACGCTGTCCAGTAACACATCCAGCAACAGCGATGACAAGCACTTTGGCTCAGGGGACCTGATGGACCCCGAGTTGCTGGGGCTGACCTATATCAAAGGGGCCTCCACGGACAGCGGCATCGACACGGCTCCATGTCTGCCAGCTGCCATCCTCGGCCCTGTACACCTGGCAGGCAGCCGGTCCCTGATGCACAGCCGGGCCGAGCAGTGGGCCGATGCAGCCGACATCTCGGGACCCGATGACGACCCAGCCCCGATGTACAGCATGCATGGCTACGCCACTGCCATCTCCACCAGCGACGCTGCCAACGGGAGCATGGGTGACCTCAGCGAGATATCGTCTCATTCCAGGTGAGTCACATGCTCCCAACTGCGCCTGCTCCAGCTGTTGCACCCTCACTGCCAGGGACAGGGAGAGCCTGGGGCCTGTTGTCACTGCGTGCCCAGTTGCCTGACCTCAGAGGAAGTGCTGCTTTCTGAAATCTTAGTGGTCAAGGTGTGCGTGTTAAGTACTGTGCTGGTGATTTTTCTTTGAATATGAGAGGAAAGTCAATAGGGATACTCACTGTGGCATCTCTGTCAGACTGTCCCCTGCACCTTGTGGAGAAGAGTTGCAGCCGGACGAGCTGCAGACTGAAGCGAGAAGGCGCAAGGGCAGGGCAGACTGGCGCTCACCTGTGCAGCTGTGACCGTGTGTTTGTCTTGATAATTGGGTTTTGGATAAAGAGGAGCTAAATTTAAGGGAGCTGTATTCTGGGTGCAGAGGTGTAATGCATGGTTACATCTGTACGTTGGTTTTAAAGCTCATAATTTGTGATTTTTGCCTTCACTTTTAAAGTCTAGGTAAATACACACATCCTATGTGTCTATGGACAGGATTTGTCTCAGATACCTTCTCTAACTTGGCTCCAAGTCGCTTGCTGGCTTCCCAGATTGCTTCCACTGCTGGGCAGAGTCAGGTGCACCATAGCAGGATAGTCCACCAGGACCTAGGGACTACAGTGGCCATCTCTCCAGGGGATGGTTCCCATTGCCCCTGGAGTTTATGGTGACAGACTGATATGTGCCTCACCTCTCACTCGTCCTCTCTGTCCTCCCCAACTAGTGCTAAAGGACACCAAGTGTTACCCAGGGCCATTGTGTTACCAATTACACACAACCAAGGAGGACTTTGGCTCATGTAATCAAAAAGTTCAGAATTGTGAAGACTCCGCCCAGCCCAGAAACTCAAATGATTTCCCAAGACTGGGCCTCTATCCATAGACCGAACAAAAGTGCAGGCAAAACATGCAGCTGCCCAGAGGGAACCAAGTACTGTGTGAGCCAGAGAGGAGCAAACCCCAGAGTGCGGAATCCTCAGTGCCCACTGGCAGTCATATGTCTTTGGGACAGAGGGAGGAAAAGGTGTGGAGATTGTTTTCAAAGTGGGCATTCCTCCTTTTTTTCAGCAGTCCTGGGTGGTAATTTGACTTAAAATAAATACACTACTAAGCTAAAATAGTACTTAAGGACTATCAGTGAACTTAGTTATGAGAATTATTCCCATCTAATTTTAGGAACAGCTAAAGACTGGCCCTCTTAGGATTCTGCAAACTTCTCACATCATTTTCATAGTTCAGAACACTTGTAGCCAGTGATTTCGCTCTACCCTCTCAGACAGACGTAATCGGTGTCACAGGAAGTTCTGTGTTACTGCTGAGTAAATCTCCCATGGACCCCTCCGGAGCATGTGTTCATTCACAGGTAGAGAGAGATGTGCAGGCATTTGACGAGCTCATTGTGAGTGCCTTAGCCCTTGGCTCGCGTAGTGGGTGAGAGGCTTGGAAAGCATGTAGAAGTGCTGTGTTGACCTTCCAGTCGACCTTGTGTCTCCCCTGCTGTAATCTGAACATATGAACAGCTGAGAGGAAATGACAGGCACTGCGTGAATGTGTTTATCACTGACCACCTTTACCTGCACTTGTTAGCTGACCATGGCTCTGAAGCCATCTCCACGTGCAGTGTGGGCTCAGCGCAGGATTCGGTCGTTAAGAGGAATCTTTGCAGTGCTTCCTCCTGTCTGCCCAGCAGCCTGGGCAGGGGGCAGGGCGAGGATAAAACCTAGAGCATACACTTAGCTCCTGGAGCATGGGGCCCTGCTGTGACTTGGCAAACTGAAATGCCAGGTCAAGGCTGGGGAAGCATGTCCCTTCTGCCAGGTCAGACTTGCATGTGGTCATCGTAAATCCAAGGTCCACTACTCAGGGATCCAGGCTGTCACTGAGAGTAGCCCAAGTATCAGAAGAGCAGAGCAACTCAGTCAGCGACCCAAGTAGATGACCACCCTGGCTAGCATCACCTCCTGCCCCAGGCACTCTGTCCCCATCATAGGTCCGCACTTCCTCCTCACCCCTCTTCTAGTGACGTCACAAGTGCCTACTGTTTATCTCCCTTCCTGTCATATGTGGAAGGCCATGGAGACCCGGCCTGTCCTGTCCATCTGTGTTCTCACATGTGGTACAGGGCCACATGGGGACTTGCTGAGTGAAGGAGGAAATAGCAGAGCGCTTGATACCCACTGATCGATCTAGTTAATAAAAACCCAAGGACATGGGCAGAGCTGGAGGCCAGCCAGTCCCAGATCAGGATGTCAGAGCTGGTCAGCTTCTGGGGTCCTCTCAGCTCTCCAATTTTGGGTTTTCACAAATGACCCCACTTCCCACACCAACACATGTCCACCCCAGCAGTCAGTAGGAATGAGTGGACAGGGAGTGTGTGTGCGTGGCATGTTCCAGGCCTGTGGTAAGGAGGAGAGGACACGTAAACACTGTAGCACATGCTATACATCAGGATAAGTGGAAGGAGCAGGACACAGGACACAGCCCAGCCTGCTTCCTCCTGCCTCCCGTCCTCTAATTCAGCAACCACAATTGGAACACAAATTGGTGTTTACATTGGTCTAATCAAGGTATTGCAAAGTGAAATCCACATTCTCCATATTGTTTGCCAAGTCATGTCATTGTATCCTCAGTACAAATGATCAGGAGTTAGCAGTGCCACTCCGACTTCAGTCTAGAAGGGAAAGATTTGTGAAGCACTTACTGCCAACATTCTAAAAGGTTTGGTGACTGCTCAGAAAAATTCTATGTTGTTACTGCAACTAAACACAGATTTGTGCCATTTCTCTGGTTGGATGGGCTCCGTTCTTAGTGTTTACTTTAAAATATTTTACTACTGGGATAAAAGACATTTTTAGTCAAGTCTTAAATTAAAAAACTATCTTTCATAAAACCAATAGAAAACGTGTAGGCTTCATGATCATGCTATCATTATTCACTACGCCAGTTCAATGATACGTGATTGGTACAGGGGAAGTGTAACCTACACAGATGCTGGATATCACAGCAGTGTGTGTGACCTTGACCCCGAGTTAGGCTGCAACCGCTGCTGCTGTGGAATGGCAGAGATGAATGCTCTCATCAACACTGTCTGCTTCCCAGCCACAGGTGCAGAGATTTAAGTTGGGGCACACTTAGGAGAGGAGTGGCAGGTCATGTCCTCTGCAGTCCACACCGCCATGGATGGTGCCAAACGTTCACTCCCACCACAGCAGGCACCCACCCTCCAATCCAGGTCTTGGCTGGTCAGCGGTAATGGCTGTCATAGCTCCCTGCTGCCCCTCTGGCAAAAATGTATTGACATTCCGTCATGGTGTGCGTGGCCTCTCTCTGGTGACAGCTGTTCATTCACCATCGACGCCTTCTCTGTGTTGAAGCGCCAGTATTCCTGTGTTGTCCATTCTGCCATGAGGCTTTGCCCGGTCCTGTGTTCAGTCTCCTTCCTCCTACAGGTGCACAACCTGCCAGAGCCCCTGAGTGGGCTTCCCAGCAAGCCACGCGGTGGAAGGAAGGCTGCCCTGCATCTCCAAGCCCAGCGCTGCTCCCGGTGGAGGACTGGGACCAGATCTACGGCCATGTCTGGCCATCGTGCAGCACACTGCTGAGTCTGTCAGTGTCACTGCTTTTCTTTCTCTTCTCAGTGGTTCTCACCATTCGGGAAGCCCCTCAGCCCACTGTTCCAAAAGCAGTGGGTCCCTGGATACTTCCAAAGTCTACATTGTGTCTCACAACGGCGGTCAGCAGGTTCCCGGCTCCATGTCCAAGTCCTACCACAGACAAGGGGCAGCGAACAAGTATGTCATCGGCTGGAAGAAGTCAGAAGGCAGTCCGCCACCTGAGGAGCCCGAAGTGACCGAGTGTCCCGGGTAAGGTGGCCGCAGTTCTTTGGGCAACATTGCATGCTTTCAGGAATCACTAAGCAAACAAATATATTTCCCTTCCAAAAGAAATACAGTTCCTAAAAAAGGACACTCTAGAAATATCTTTTAATTCAAACTCTTTAAATGCCAGCATTTATATTTCTCCTTAAAAGTCTTCGTTTTCCTTGATTTTTATATAGAAGAAAAAAAATCTGTGTTTTTTTTTTATTCTTCTAATAACTATCTGCAGTAGAAAAGTCATGGTGAGGTGAATGCAGACTGTCATGACACAAAGTCAAGGGCGTCTGAAATCCACAGTTGGGGTGTAAAAGCAAAAGCATCTCACCTGATCTTAGCAGCACTTCTAGTTTGTTCTCTCAGCAGGGAGAGAAGCATGCTTTGTATCTGTTGAATGGGGAAAAATTCCCATCACCCTTTTTATTGCTAACACTTGTGCAAACCGTGCTGCTGCCTCTGAAGAGGCAGATAGAAAAAAAGAAAAGAAAAAGCGTTTCAAGTATGCAGAGCAAGGCCAATGTGAGCTCTTTAGCTCATGGTTTGCTTATTATTCTAGGAGGCCACAGACGCCAAGTCACCAGGTCACCCTGCTCTGCAGTCATGTGGTGTCACAGGCGTCCGGTGGTGGTCTAGTTTTGGGCGTGTTATGGTGACTTACTCCCCAGATCCTCCAGAGTTTAAGTCTGGTCTGAGAACTAGCATCACTTTTTGTCTCTGAAGAGAATCCCATGTGTGAGGTGTACCAGTCATGATTCTTTACTTCTTAAATTGAGCGTGGACTCTTGTTCAGAAACTGTATGGCGCTGTTCAGAAAGGAGTTTTGTCCTCATCGTTCCATTGCAGATGCAAATGTAAGGATGGCGTGTGGAGGGGATCCCATCTAGTCAGAAGTCTTTCGAGTGCTTGACAGCAATTCATGGCCAGCCTTTGTCAGTTTTAGGAAGCCTGTGAGAAGCCTTTGGGGCATCCCCAGGGTCTGCATATGTCCACACACTGGTCCACAGCTCTGACATCCTGGGACAGAGGCAGCAGGAGGGGTGTCCCACCTCAAGGTCAAAGCAAGTGACATAGAGATTTTCAGATGAACCCTTCTTAGTTTCTCACTCTCACTCCTCAGAGGACCATCACATTGCTGAGGTGTCCTTGCCTTTGCAATAGAGTGGCATCTCTGTGACAGGCGTCAGTGACGCACAGGACACCCCCGGCAACTCAAGGCTGTGGACAGTGAACTCCTGGAGCATTGCATTTTGGTTGTGTGGCACAAACTGTCCACCTTCTCTGAAAAGGCGGCCATGGTTCTCCCCAGCCCCTAGGAATGCTTGGGTGGCTCAGCGCTCCTCTTGGTGACCCTTCTCAGAGCAATGCCAGTGTTCTCCTGGAAGGATCTGAAAGCGGTAATCCCACCTGGCAGTCTTTTGTTGTCCACTGATACATTTTTATATCCTGGTGATTAAGGGAGACAGCTGCTTTATTTATCAAACAGCTCTTCGAGAGGATGACAGTGAAGCAGGCTTGGCATGTGCCCGAGCCCATCCCTGAACCCCAGGCTCCCGTGGGTGACCTTCTCTCTGCTCTGAGCGCCTGGGGAGCTGACTGTTGAGGGGCTCTCCAGCCTCTGAGGGCACAGCTTCAAAAGACCTGACTGTGTCTGATAAATTATTAAAACTGTTTTCTGACACCATTTAGGAAAGAGAAAATAGCATATTTTGAAAGTTGGTATGTTTTCTTCTACTCCTGGGCCTTGGGATCTGATGAGTTTCTGAATTATTCAGCAGTCTCACTACAGCCAGCTTGTGTCACAGATGTGGGATGGTGCGGGATTGGCGCCTGCAACCCCAGTGAACCAGTTTACCCACCAGGAACCGAGGGCCTGCACACACAGCAGGAAGCCGGTTACTGGATTTTGCCTCTGACTGCCGTGGTCTTCACACACCAGCTCTGCTCCTGAGTCCATTCTGGTCTGTTCCTACAGGATGTATGGTGACATGGACGTCATGCCCACGGCAGCTCAACATCAGGCCATGGTGGGAGACGCCGCCTCAGAGACACAGCACGTTCTCTCTAAAGAAGACTTCCTGAAGCTCATGCTTCCTGACAGCCCCTTAGTAGGGGAGGGGAGAAGAAAGGTGAGGGAACTCAAAACAAGTCTAAAGCAACTCTGGGCCCACAGAGTCGTTGCCTCCCCTTCTGCCCAACCAGTGCCACTTGTGTCATGACCCTCCTGCAACTCCATGGCAGGGTGGCACTGCCAGCGTCCGTCCTCAGATAGGAGCAGCAGAAAGCCAAGCAGGCCTGCCTCAAGGTCCAGCTCCCATGGTGACCCTGCAAGTGACAGGGCCTCAGTGTGCTCTCCGCTAATAGCAACCACATTTCAGAGTCAGGGAAATAAAAGGAAGTCACCTGCATGGAGCCCAGAACGGTGCCTGAGCAGAGCTGGTGACTTATGCTCCAGGGACCCAGCCTGTGCTGTGCAGGCCTTCTTCATCAAAGTGGACGGAGGTGTCCCAGCCCTGCCTGCCAGGTCTTATGCAGAGGTCACAGGGAAGTCAGGCTTTGCTCTTAAAATGCCTTCATGTTCATTTACAGTGGAGTGGTCCCTTGATGATTTCACACACATCTATTAGTTTGGGCTTCATTGTTACTGTAGTGTTCTAAGCTACTTTTTTGAAATAACAAAGTATTAAGAGACGTGGCCAGGCATGGTGGCTCACGCTTGTAATCCCAACTACTTGGTAGGTACTGATTGGGAGGATTGTGGTTTAAGGCCCACCCAGGCAGAAAGTTGGTGTGATCCTAGAGTCAGGAGCAGAATCCCTCTCACTTCAGTCCAACCCTTCTCTCATCCAAGTGGGAAGGAAGTGAGAGACCCAGCGTTGCCAAGTTGCCTGGGATGGAGTAAACAGCAGGTCTCCAAGTTCGCCTTCCTGTAAGGAAACGCTGCGGTTAGTCGTGTTGAGTTGCTAGAGAAACGTGTCGTTAGGCTCTGCCTACAGCCCACTTTAAACTAGCGGGTCTGCAGAACTGGGGGTGGACGTGAAGAGGGGTCCTGCCTGACCTCAGTCAAATCATGGGTATGGATGGCTCCATTGTGAGCGAGCCTGTGCAAGAGCAGACTGTCATAGAGTGCAGTCGTTCTTCAGAGGACCAACTTCTCCTTGAGGTGTTTTCCCTCCTAGGACAAATCTCCTTTTCACAGACCAAATTTAACTGTGTGCTTTGCACACATGGCAGTCACATCCATCAGTTGGAAAGGCCCGGCATGAAAGGAACACTTATATTAGGAGTAATTTTAGCCATCCTGTCACACTCTCAGTGTAAATGTCCATTGCTGTGTCTGTTTGATGTGAGCACTCTGGCTTTTGCTACTGTTTTTGTGAAAGGACTGTGACTCAGTTTACAGAATGAGGGTTGGAGATTCAGATCTGATTCCTTATGTCTCGAGCATTTCCCTTGCTTCAGTCCAAAGTTTCCTTCCCCTTCCAAGATGTAACTCAGTCATGTTACAGTTGCCCTCAGTCTGGTTTTGATCCATTTCTGTAAGTCCATCTCCAACCATTGAAGTACAGACTTTTGCAAGTAATTCTCTTAGCGGACACCAAGGCCTTACTGGACTGAAACCATCTTTTTTCTTAAGCCTCTTTACATGGCTCAGAAAACATCAGTGTTCAAAATTAGACCAAGCCCCACACGTACTTGATATGGAAGTCATCCAGTACCAGTGCGGGGTCATTTCCGGCTACAGCCAGGCCAGCATGAGCTGCCATGAGTCAGGGCTCCCATCGAACATTTCAGAATCAGTCAAGCCACGCATGCCTAATTTGTGATGCTATTTCACAGAACAGTAAAGGAGAAACATTAAAGCCCAGTAGCTCACAGAGCTTTGCTGGACTTGCCCGATGGCCGCAGACGGGCTGGGTTTCCCGCAGTGATGGGGAATGTGAAGCTTTCTCAGTAGCCTAGTCAGATCCATGCCACAGCTCAAGTTCAGTGACTGACCCCTCACCCCATCTTCCTCACCCGCTAGTTTTCCTTCTACGGGAACCTGTCTCCGAGGAGGTCCCTGTACCGCACCCTGTCTGACGAGAGCGTCTGCAGCAACCGGAGGGGCTCGTCCCTTTGCGGCTCCCGCAGCTCCATCCTCGACCAGGCCCTGCCCAACGACATCCTGTTTAGCACCACGCCGCCCTACCACAGCACACTGCCTCCAAGGACCCACGCCGTGCCCAGCATGGGAAGCCTGCGCAGTGAGTGACACCTGCGGCCCCGCCCATGGCAGACCATGCGTCCCTGGGGGTGGGGTGGGGTGGGGCTGGAGCTGGGTTTTACGGATGGGTCATCTGGTGCTGTCTTTGCTTTCTCTTTAAAGTAGCGTTCTAATGCAAGTGCCCAGAGGGGACATTTTGCAAAAAGGCAACCCTATCTGCGTAGGAAGGCCTGACATTAGATATTTTTATCAAGTCAAATAGTGACTTCTGTTTCTGTCTCAGCTGTCTGGTCTCTAAAGGAGGCAGTGTCAAAAGCCTGGTTTCTAGAAAGGGGAGCTGTGGCATGGTGGGTTTGGGGTGGGTGTGAGCCAGAAGGAGGACTAGGTGGTCTGGCACACCACCTCTCCTTGGAGTTGGGTCCTGGCTCTGGGGATGACTAGGCATCGGGAGGCCTGACCTGGGCTTTACCCAGGGCGTCCATCACCTACTGCAGGTCACCTGTGTTCTCCTGTGTCCTGGTTCACTTCAGGGCACTAGGCATGGATCCATCATATGATTTTCCTTCTATCCTAAAAATGATGGCCAGCTCTGTGCTGTTCTTACTTGGCCATGTAGCTCCTTCATTTCCTAGCCTTAAGAAAGTGCTCACGCAAAGTGCTGTCATCTCAATGTGGGGCTGACCCAGTGTAAGTGAAGGGCCTTGGGGTAATTTGTACTGACGTCCGTCCCCAACCTCCAGTTCCTTCCTGCAGCCCACCACCTTTAAGCTTTAAGGACCCCACAGTTTGGAGGATGCTGTTTCCTGGCCTCTGCACACAACAGGTGTGACTCTTAACTTTTCTGTCCACATGGGCAGAGTCCCATCACCCTGAGCTGTGCGTGGCCTCTGGTCATTCCCAGTCCCTCTCTAAGACGAAACTGCTCTCCAAGAGAGATTTGGATTGACCCAAAAAGCTGCAGCAGTCCTTCGGGAAGGAGGGGGGCAGTGAGAAGCACTGGCCAGTAGGTTCTCTTAGTTTCTCAGAAGCATGGAAACATTACTTTGTGTTAGAACTTGGGGTGAAGGTTGGTCCTGGTGAATCATCTAGCACCAGATGGTTTAAGCAGCTGCTCAGATAGGCAGAAATGCAGGAGGTACACAATCTCTCCCGTAAGTGCAACACTGCAGCATCCCTGGACCTTGGCTCCTCAGGGAAGAACTGCCTCCATAGCCACCTGCAGACCTTGCTCGAGACTTGGAGCAAGTCCTGGTGAACACGGGAGGGCCTGGTCCATGCGCCTCGTCTGCCTATAACTGACAGTCACAGGCTTCTTTTTTTAAAAGTCCCAGATTTGAACCTGTCTTGGAATGTTCTTTTTGAGAACAAGATCTTAATACAGCCTGTGAGACAGACCCTTGACAGACTCCTGGATATGACTCAAGCCGTGACTCACACACTTCCTGTGAAGTCACTGGAGTGTGCTGGGTCCCTCTGTCTGCCTGGAGGTGCACAAGCATCACCTAATCCAGCATTAAAAGTGTCTATGAACCATCCGGTGTTACTCTCACGACTTCTGTTCTCCTTGTTGGGGGATACAGAAGAAAATCTCATTAAGGCCAGTTAGGGAAAACCCAGTAATAATAATCTGGAGTGGCCTCTTGACAGGGCTCACATGCAGATGCTGGGTGTTGACAGCAGTCCCAGCATCCTTTTCCTCCCTGGCATGGGACCTGTGTTCATTCAGCCTCCAGCACTGGCGGGTACACAGCATGTTTAAGGAGAATTCCTGACTCATTACGGAACGGAGCTCCAACCCTCTAAGGAACAGGGAAACCTTCCTATGAGGACAGTCTAAAAAGAGTCCTTGTTTTCAGAAATAAACACAGAGCACGAGCTATGTGTCAAATCCCAAATAGCTGCGACCTACACAGCCCCCAACCCAAGCCCTTAAAGTGAAAGAAAAAGGTTTAGGATAAAAAATAAATATTTTTTTACATGTGCACTCACAGGTGGCTACCAACCCGGGTGTGTGCTTGGTGGTCATAAGTCATAGGTGATAAGACCACCACTCACAGAGCAGTCCTTGCCAGGCTGGCACTGCAGGTGTCAGGTCCATGAGGCAGGCCTGGTTCTGCATGTGGTGCACACATCCTCAGCCCCGCCTGAAATGACCACAGTTTGTTTCTGGAGAGTGACTGGGAACCCTCAGGCGTCTGACCACAGGAAGTATTGTCGGAAGGCTCCTGGCATGTATGTAACAGCAGCAATACCACACTCAGCACAGAGGGTGCTGTGATGGCAGGTTTCAGGTGAACAAACAGGAAGCTGCTCGATCTGTGTCCACAGCTGGAGGGCTGACTGTGCAGGCTTGTGGGGTCTACCTCCTCCCAATCCATAATGGGCCTGAATCAGGTCTATGTGCCATGTGGGCTGTGAAAATCATGAGCAGAGGAGGCGTCATGCCCAAGTGAAACAGATGAGTGTCCACTTATAACCAGGAGGAGGCCCTGTCCTCTCCCTCACTGCGCCACACCTCATTCAGAACGCTCGGGATATTCCAGGTACAGAATGGCACCAGTCATGTTTGTTCCTGCACCCCAAGTGTGTCACCTTCCTTGATGCAAACATGGGAGAGTACAGGCAGCTGCAGAGGACATCAGCTTCACACCTTGTCTTCAGACTCACCACTGGCCACGGTCCCCTCCTTTGTCACTGTGCTCTGCCCCTTGTCCTGTCTCATTTTCCTTTCTCCCTGGCTGCTGTCAAAGCCAGTGAGATGTATCTGTTCAGGGAGACAGTACACAGGACATGAAATAGCTTGGCTTGAGCCTCTCACTTGTCAGAAGCTAGATGGGAGTGGAGAGTGATGTCTTTGTAGAGGTCAAGAAGGTCCAGGAGTTGTTGCTTCTTAGGAAGATGATGCAGACTGTGCTTTCTGAAGCTTGCGTGTCTGGTGTTCCATTCCCTTCCCACAACCATTTCTGTGGATGGGACACAAAAGAGCATCCTCTCTCTTTCTGGTTTGTTCCCTTCCCTTCCTGATGTGTCCCTCTCTGGGGGCACAAAGGGGGACAGATGTAGCCTGCCTGACCCCACACCTCTCACCAAGCTGTGCTTTCTTACCATTTCCTAAAGAACCCAACCTCAAAGAGATGGGCAGTAGGAACAGCTGCCACCTACTTGTAGAATTTCTCTGCACCTGGCGTGAAAGTCCTGTTTTAAGCAAAGCACGTGTATTTGAGAGGAGGATGTGACTTGCCAGTGAGTGGAGGTGCTGGGCTTCCTCACCTCAGCATGAGGACGGACCTTGAGCTTGTGCCTGAAGGGGGGACCTGAGAGCCAGTTTAGCCATCCTGTGCTTCACATGGCTGAGAGAGAAGGCCTGGGAAGAGTCGCCTTGTGCTCAGAGTTCTCCCTCTCAGCTCTGGCTTACCCATGGCATAGCCAACACAGAGCACACGTGACCGCTTTCACTTCAAAGATAGACAGGAGATGGTGGCAGAGTGCCCACTGCTGGGCTCCCCTTCTGGTAGAGGCTGGGCACACACTGGAGGACATCACATCTCAGCATCTGTCATTGTTTGAAAATAGCGTGTCTGATTGGCAAAGCTGCCACAGGTCCACTAAGGCTGTGTGAGAGTGTGAGCAGACCAAATATTGTCCTAGTCCAGCCCGTGTTTCACAGCTTCCCCAAGATGCGGGAACAAGGATCACAGGTGTAATGGTTATTTGTGCTCCTTACTCAGCTCAAGTGCAGCCTCAGCCAGCCAGGGGGTGGTTACTTTGATCGGCCTCCTTAGACATGTCCGTCCACAGCTGCTGCACACAGTGTTCTGGGCAGGTTCAGGAAAGGCACGTTGAAGACGTTTGGTGGGAGCCTTTTCAGAATTGGTGCTTTGGGCATAACAGTCCTCTCAACAAGGACTGTTAGTAATGACACTAACTCCTGTGGAGCCACGACAAAGGAAAAACTCCCTGTGCACAGCAAAGGGCAAGTTAGGCCTGCCAGCGGGAGGGTAAGCAGCTCCTGGTGTAGCTGTGACAGGACTGTCCTGCTAAGTCAGGACAACTTACCTCATCCCTTTCTGTGGATAGCACATAAAATACCATCTTCTTTCTTGCTGGTCAGTTAGTAAAAGTAGAGTTAGTGTCACTACATTTCTATAATAACTTGGAACTTGTGGCATCCCAAATCTGTGCTGTTTAGCTTAGATAACTTTGTTCTGCAGTTAACTTTCAAGGTATCAGGAAAGAGAAATTGCACAAGCTTTCTTATAGAGATGTGAAGGCCATGGCCCTTTAAGAAGGGACAGTCACCCTTGGGAAATAGGCACTTACCCTCTGTCCCTCAGACTGGGGCACCTTTCTGGAAAGGAGGGTCTGGGAAGGGACAGTGTATACAGAGGCTCCATCTTCACCTTCCGCCGTCTGGGCCCACATGCTGGCTGCCTGCTAAGCTCATCACCTCACAGTGGCCAGAGTACAGAGTGACATTTCGCCAGCTTTTGGGGCAGGAGCAGCCTGCCATTTCTTTTTTAGCAGATGTTTTACAAAAGGTTTCCTAGCCCACTTGGAGATGGGACAGTGGTACCTGTGTTGTGACTGACAGACTGTAGAGATGGCAGGGCTGTGATTGACTGGTGCTCTGGTTTTGTTTCTGTCTAGATGAGTTCTGGTTCTCTGATGGGTCCTTATCGGATAAGTCCAAGTGCGCAGATCCTAACCTGATGCTACTCCCAGACACGGCCACGGGCTTGGATTGGTCCCACCTCGTGGATGCTGCACGGGCATTTGAAGGTAAAGACTCACCCCGCACACCCTCCCCAGATCTCCCCAACTTAGGGGACATGTCTGTGTGTTGATCATCCGGCTGAAGTGTGGGTGTCACTCATCTTTGAGGATGAAAAGGAAAGGAGACATGGGCTCTGAAGGAAGCTTCCTAATAGAGACCAAATGTCTGTCCCTTAGTAAAATGAGCCTAGGTAAAGGGATCCCAAGACCTGAGTTCTAGTCCAGCCACTGGCACTAAGGTGGGACAAGAACTTTTCTTCTTTGGACCTGTTTTTCTGTCTGAAGGGTAGAGGTGATTGCTTCGTGTGCACTGTGCCTTTCCTCCAGGAGGGACGAGGTGAAGGGGGAGGGGGTGCTAGCAGGCTAGAACTGCTGGGTTTGGCCAACAGGACAAGCAGCCTGGTGACTTGGTGCAAATTTGAATCCTACACATTTCAGCCCATGTGTAGCCTGGGCCTCCACCTAACTATGGGCAGTGGTTTTGGAGAACCGGCCGACCTCCAAGAGCCCTTCCAGCTTCCATGCTACTTCTGTCACTGCTGGTGCTGGGGCTGTTGAAGGCCAAGGCTGCTGTCCAGCTTGCAGATCACCATAAACAAATAGACACCATCAGATACTGGCTTCTCTCCTCAGGCATCACGTGTGAGATACATGGGCCAGTGGTCTGGGATCGGGACTTTTAGGATTTTTTGTCTTCTTCTGCAGCCTTCTTTCATAATAACATGTTCTGCTCTGGGGCTTCTGGTAGTTGAACTGACAGGGGAGGCAGGGCCTTTTGAGGAATTGCCTTGGCCTCTGCCCACTGCAACTCTCCCAGTGCCCCCTGGCATGCAGTCCCCTAGGCTCAGAGCCTCCCAGCTCTAGGCACTGACAGCTCAGCCCCACCACCTGTGGCGTCAGCCTCAGGAAGTAAGTTTGGGACTTTTCCCAGAAGTCTGAGGCTGCTGAATCCTCCCGAGCTTGTGGCAGCTTGGCCTGCTGGAGCCCCCTGTCAGCCTCCCGGCTGCACACCTGGGGACTGAAGCGAGTTAGGGCCCCTGGGAGTTGGGTGGTAGGACACTGGAAGTGGGAAGACTCGTGTGGCATGGCACTGCTCCCTCCTCCTCTCATAGGGCAGAGGCAGACTCAGGGGTTCCCTCTCCTCCATAGCTCCCTGTGGGAATGCCTGCACACTTCCTAATCACTTGCTCACTTCCTTGTTACAAACCGTTACAGGCAGTGCAAAGTGCCTTGCTGAGCTCAGACCCATCTGTCCAGACTTTGACATAAGTAGTAGTCAATGTAGCTGAAAACCGACTCTAAAAATTAAATTTATCTGGCCACTGGAGTGAGACACTGTGACCTCCATTTGTGAAATCCAAAGCGTAACCCTTCCTCAGCAGACTTGCCTCCCCCAGGGCTCCGCCTGAGTCAGCTTCCATGCTTTGGCATGACGTGATATGTCACCTTTGTTGGAGAGCTAAAGTCCAGTTGGACACATGAGTTTAAGGATTTAGGTTTCATTATACCATTCAAGAACGGGGCAAAGACACCAAATCCATCTTAATTCATGGGTGCTTAAATACACTTAAACTGTTAGCACACAGAACGCGTGCATGACGTGGGTGAGAGTAGCCATGTGTCCTGCCCAGCAGTCCATAGCTTCCTCCAAAGAGGCACAGCCTTTCCTGACCACAGCTGACCATAAGACAGTGAAACAGCATTCAATAAGAAAAACAGAAGTGAGACGCAAGCAAGGCACACCAAACTTGAGGAAATACTAAATGTCACTCTAGTGATTGTGCTAGGCAGATTTAAGAATATAAGGTGCCTTGCTTTTGTTTTAATGTTTACAAAAAAAGACATTATATATTAAACTTTGCACTATTGGCAGAGTAGTTCTTAAAAGAAAAAAATTTGTTTCAGAAACTGTTAGGTGAACTAAATGTTAATTATGAAAATTAACTAACTTTGCTGGACTTCAAACACATTCCACAAAAGCTAAAAGAAAAATGGTGGGAGGAAAAGAGATGAAGTGAATTCTAAAACACAACTGGCAAATGAAAGGGCATTGTATTTTGTAAGATCAGTCATCAGTTTTTCTTTGAATATTTGTAAACCATCAGCAAATGTGATTTGGAAAATGAGAGTGCAAATGAGCAAAGTCAGAAAAGGAGAGGAAACTGGGCTTGGTGGCGACACCTGTGACCCCAGCCTTTGGGAGGCAGAGGCTGGAGGATCATGAGTTTGAAGCCAAAATGGGCTACACAGCAAGATTCTGTCTGGAAAAAAAAAAAAAGAATAAATAAATAAAAATAAATACATACTAAAAGAAAAGAAGGTGAAATTAATGTAGAGTGAGGCCAGTGGGCTGCAGCAAGCTGTGTGGTCTCCCTGCAGAGTCCGTGGCTCTGCCTTCCTCTCACCTAGACCAGCTGTGTGTGTGTGACCAGTCTTACCTTTACAGTGGGCCTCTCAAGGCCTGCATTGTAGAGGCCTTATAGACCTTGGGGTCGTTCCCTCTAGAATGCAGACTTGACCAGCCTCAGACATCAATCCTAGCCAAACCAGAGCCTACCTTTACTCAAAACTTGGTTTCCTGTGGAGCTCAGCGCGTTAGTGTCTCACTGAACCCAGTGTCTTTATCCTAACAATGTGAGACTGTGCACTTGACTACTTTGTGTTCTCCAGCTCTTGTGGGGCCACTTGGCTGGTTCCCTCTAAGCTAATTTAAGTACCATTGGGCTACCTCATCCCACCCCGAGCACACACAGATCCCAGTCCGCTGTGTCTTCTCATTACATGTTCTCTGGGAGACACTAACAAGAGAGAGGCATCTAGAGAACGACCGAGTAATGTCAAGCAGCTGGATAGGAATAAATTTTGTGGCTAAAGGAATTGGACATTTCTTACAAGGAAAGGGGGTGGAGCACAAAGAAACATGAAGGCCAAAGTGTGGGGTCCCTTGAAAAGGTCATCTGACATAGCCCTAAACCCCAAATACCACTTGTCTGTAGTTAGTTGTTTTCACAGTTTCAAAGAACAATGGTGCCTTTGTGTACGTTTTTCTGGAAACTTAGAAGCAGCTTTCTTGCATAATAGGATTCTTTCCTGATTAACTACACAGAAAAGAACACGACAAGACAATTTCAGTCTTTAATATTGATGTGAGAGAGTGTAAATGAAATTCACGGAAGATTGACAAGATTACTCGTTGTTACCAGCAAGAGCTTAACTGGCTTAATAAAAGGAAAACTTTAATTATAATAAGTTATAGTAGGTGAAGTAATTAAAAGTGATCATATCAATTTCCAAAAGTATGTGTGATAGAATTAGGACCTATTTCTAATAAAAAGATATGAGAGATACTTACAAAGCCTAACAAAGAATATCCACGTGCTTCCAAGTAATTACATAGTAAGATGTGGGGAGTGTGTAGAATGCCCAGAAATTAAACACGGGCATCCTGTGAGTCCAGGTGCTTTAACTGTGTACTGGAACGCTTGACCTGTAAACAAGCAATGCAAAGAAAAAAGGGGTTAATATTGGAGGTAAAACAAAACACAGATACGTAGCTGTATCTAGAAAATATAAGAAATCACTAAAGTACATACGCATCATTTCAAAGTGTTGATGATTGTTTTTCAGTTACTTCAAAATCTATGGCTACAAACTACAGTGGTTTTATTTCATAGGATGCTGTGGGTGGGCGAAGGCTCAGCTGGGTGACTCTTCTGCCAGAGGCAGGGACTCCCTGCCTGCCCTTGTCTGTCTGAAAACACTGGTAGCTGGACCCTGGGCCCCGTGGGGGGTGATTCATGTTTTCACACATGTGTAGGGAACCATAGGCACAAAAGCAGAGGCCCTGACTGCTTAGGGTCTGGTCTTGCGATGTGGCGGGACGTTACATCGGCCACATTCAGTGACCAGGCCTCAGGCCAGCCACATCCTGGGGTTGAGAGATGGGCTTGGCCTGCCCACAGGCGGGGTGACACATTCGCACAGAGAGCGAGGACATGCTGGCAGCAACTTTGCAGACAGTCTTCCATTGTGACCACTCTAAAGGACACCTTAAATAAATCAGCAGGATGAGCTATATGTTCTTTGGAATTAAGTCGTCATTAGAATTATAGTGAAAGAAACCCAAGAAACACTTCCCTAACAGGAAAATCTTGATATAAGCAAGGACAGGAATGGATAAAACACTTTATAGTAAAAGCAGTCCTTTTTAATTAATTTGTAGATTAGTGCGGTTTCAATTCAGCTAGCTAAAGATATGTTAAAGAACTTAATTGCAGTCATTTAGGAACTAGATGAACAGTGTTCATAAAACCTATCATAAATCAGTAATAATTAACAGCATAGTAAAATGACTCAAATAGAGTAAGTCCTTTCAAAGAAAAATAACATCCACAGAAATCTGAATAAATTTAAGAATGAAGTGAGAAAAGGATTCATGTATGCCATTTAAGTTTAGAAAATTAACTTAGAAAAAGAAAAAAATGAAAAATTGCCATTTTGAAGCAAGGTGTTTATTACATGAACAGGCTTAAGATGTAAATGACAGGCTAGTCTTCAGAGAAGGCCTGTCCTCCTCCAGGTCTCCAGGCTCTCCCTTGGGTGGTGACCAGGGCTGTTTGGGAGAGGATTGTGTATGTGCTCACGTGTAGATATCTGTAGTAAGACACATGCAGTTAACTCCTGCGCCAGGCTCCGCTAGGGAATCAGACAGCCACGGGAATATATTTCCCAAAAAGCTGACACCTGTCCTTTGTTTCTTAAATGGCGTATCATAAGCTTTGTGATGAGAACTTTTTCATTTTTTCAAATCAAAGTTGATGAAGCTTGGTTGTGTGTGCAGGCACAAACAAGACCTGACATTCTGGGTACCTCCCAATGGTAACATAATTAGTGGGAAAAGTAGGAACATGAAAGTGCAATGTCAAATATGATATCGTAAGTCAACTTAAAGGATCTCAAAAATTATTAAATGTGTTTCAGGCTGACACAGCTGTGTCTTGAGTAAAGAATAATTTCAAAGCTCCTCCTTAGAGGTAGATTCCACACCATTATCTTTTCAAGATTTGTCAATGGGCTGCAAAGACCTAAACCAGGGTATTTTATGGTGAAGGCACAGTGTGGCCTCTTTCTCCTTCCCTGGCAGTCAGTTAAGTCAGATTCCTCCAGCCAAGTGAGCCCAGGTGTCAGACCAGAGCCTCTCATTTCTTACATGGAGCTGCAAAGCTCAGCTTATAGTTTTGACAGAGACGAATCAGTAGAGGTTTGGCTGGGTAGACCACCTGCCTTGCAAGTATAAAACCCTGAGATCAAACCCCAGTGCCACCAAAAAAAAAAGAAGAAGAGCTTTGGTTGTGGATTCAAGTGTCTTTTAACCTAGTCTCCCACTGCTCATCCCACTCAGCGGGGTCTGCTGCAGTCAGCATCCTCCTGCCCCTCACCTGGGCAGCCATGACTCACCTGGATGTGGCTGGACATTCTTAGCACCGTAGGCAGCCCTGGGAGCTCGCACAGTGACTTAGGTCCCTATCTGGCCATCTCAGCCTTGAGTTGGTGAACAGTAGCCTGTTGACTGCCTGTCTTCTTTTTTAGTGTTGCATACATTAAAAATTTTTTAAATGCCATTAACATAAGTTTTAGACTGTTTGAAGGGTGGACTGTTTCTCATGTAAGCCATGCCTGATGTTCCCTTTAGCCAGATCTGCTCAGACCAGAAGGAGCAGGAGGGGCAAGAGCACACAGGCTGCACCTACAGAGCACAGGTACCGGCTCTGTGCTACACATGTGTACAAAGTCCACACTCGAGCCCAACATCTCCTATCTCTGGTTTTGTTTGTGCCGTGTGGTTCCAGGTCAGTAGTCACTTGATTAGTGAACATTTGTCATCACAGAAATAAGCTGTCGAGGCAGTCTTTCAGTGGAAACTGTCATGAAGATTAGCGTCTGTGCTCATTCGAGCAACATCTGTGCTTCGGGCCTCCCAAGGCCACAGCTCCCTCCTGCATCTTCTGTGTGGCAAAAGCCTGCTCTGGTTTCTTGCTTCCGTAGGACTCTGTTTCTCCCTGAGCAAGTAGCAAGTCCCATCATTTTTATCAGTTGAAGTAGAAACAGGAAGCAAACTATGATGATTTCATCCATAAATGTAGACTTGGCCATCAGAGTCAATGGATAGTAAGCAAGATGGAAATGTTACTGGGTTACATATCATGAGGGTGAGTCAGTGCATCTCTTAAAACTAAGAAAAATAAATTCTTTATCCATTTTTTGACGTTCTTTTTTTGCAGTAGTTTACTGTAGAAGAAAAATGCACCTGTTGTTTTTTGTTTTGTTTTGGGGTTTGGGTTTTTTAAGCATGGTGTGATCTCTTGAGTCCTCACAGAACAGGGCCACATGAGATTTCACAGCCACTCAGACCTCCTCCCCCATCCCCTAGCCAGGTCCCCTCACCTCTGCCTCACCTCTGCATGCAATCAGATTGTGTAGACGTGGGCAATGTCCACTTCATGCTGTTCAGCCTCAGTTGCAGAGGGCCTAATTCATGGTACCAAGTGTGTGACGTGGTTGTCTCTTGGGATTGCAGAGTTACAGTGTTTGTGTGTGTGTGTGTATGTGTGTGTGTGTGTGCACGCGCGCGCACGCACATGGGTATTAAGTGGAAATAATTTCAAAGCTCCTCCTACTTATCACTCAGAGGTAGAGACTACACCATTCTTTCAGGATCCGTCAATGGGCTGCAAAGACCTAAACCTGAAGAACCTACATCTTCAGAAAGGGTTCTTCAGAAAGGTCAGCTGAAGGGCATCCACATGCCTGTGACAGGTGTTAGGAAGGGGATCACATGGCTGGAGAACTCCCCTGTGATGGGTCTGTGGGTAGGCCCAGGCCTCTGTGGGCCAGTGGTGCCCTCAGCACAGACTGGTAGCCGGAAGCCAGCCCTGCTTCATGTGCTGCTGGCAGCTTCAGCACAGCCATCCTTTTTAATTAACCAGCGGTGCATAACCCTCCATAAACCAAACAAGCAGGTAGCCTCGTTAGGAGGCCGGCGCAGCAGCCGAGGGAGACAGCGGGATAAATTAAGAACAGGGCGCCCAGCACATCGAAGTGCAGTTTGACCGCGCCATTAATCACTGTGTGAAAGGGGCCAGGGCAGCACCAGCGCGCTGGCTGCCTCCCCGGACTGCAGCTGCGATGTGCACTCAGTGCGGGGTGCTGGGCCTGAACGCCCGTGGATCCCAGAGCAGGGGCCACAGGCAGGACTTCTGCCTGCCTTTGAGCGTTTCTATCCGGGTTCTTGATCAGAGTTCAGCCCTGAGACAAGCCGGTCTGGCACCCACACGGAACACAGAGAAGACCGTTCGTTGTCTTCCTGTTCCTGCCTGGTTCTGGCAACACTGAATGCCAAGTTCCTGGTGCCAGGATGGAAATGGCCATGAACTGAGGGAAGGCTTTGTGCTCAGCTGGCCGTGGGTCTTCTGCTGGGAATGCAGGGCTTTCAGGCCTGCAGGGTGTCCGGGAAGGCTCTCACCACCCTCACCCTTTTTTAATTTGTGAAGAGAGCCGTTTTAAGTCAACCCACAATCATGGTGTGTACCTGTGGTTGGATCCGTGTGTGTGGCAGAGCACACATCTTAATTGTGCAGTGCTGCCCTGCTCCCAACCAGGATGGTCAAACATGAAATGTGTGATCTCACTGTTGTTTGGCCTTTCAAGGCCCCTCCCTCTGCCCCTTCCCCCTCTCCCCCTCTCCTTCTCTCCCTCCCCCTCTTTCTTTTCCCCTTCCCTTCCTCTCTCCTCCCTCTCTCTGTTTGACTCTCTCTCTCTCTCTCTCTCTCTCTCTCTCTCTCTCTCACACACACACATACACACACACACACACACACACAGTCTCAATACTTCACCTAACTTCATTACTTGAGCCTATGAGGCCCAAGATTCTCAGGTACAGAGAGATTCCTGTTCACAGAAGACTCTGAATCTTATTTCAGGTCTTGACTCAGATGAAGAACTTGGGCTGCCCTGTCACCACACGTCCTATCTAGGTGATTGTCCCAGCTCTCGATACTCCAGAGCCTGTTCTGTATCTCTCATGTGTCTGCACGTCTGCATGGTGTTGGACGCTCTGCGGGAGGGGCATCCAGGGGATGTGGCCTGGCAGTCCTATCTCGGGATTGTCTTGTATTGGGGGAGCTTGCGGTCAGAGCCATCTTCCTGGTTCTGTTACTCAGCTGAGTCATCATCCAGCTTGTGTCATACACAACTGGTAGCTTTGGTGTTTCTTGGGGTGTGGAAAGAAGAAAGCAAATTGGCCCTAGCAAATCCAGGATCTGCTAGTTGTCCCTGTGGCTGTGATGTGTGTCCCACACAGCCACAGGACAGCCAATCTGTATGCTTTCTTGCCAGTGGCTTGCCTGAGTTTTATTTCTTTGTCTTGTTTCAGAACGTGGTGATAACTGATTTGCAGGGGTGACAGATTTCGTGTAGCTACTAAATTCATCTCTAAGAAGACAGTGCCTTGCAGCTGTCACTAACATTGCTTTCTGTGTGTTTCCCCATCCCTAGACCAGAGAGTGGCCTCTTTCTGCACCCTAACAGACCTGCAGCATGGGCAGGACTTGGAAGGAGCCCCAGACCTGCCCCTGTGTGTGGATCCTGGTAGCAAGGAGTTCATGGATGCAGCTGGGTATGTGGACCTCTCCCTCCTGCTGTCTCAGGCCAGTGGGACCAAGTCAACTTCCTGCCCCTCTGGGAAGGATGGCACTGGGCTGCATGACACTCTGGTACATGGGAAGGTCCTGCCTGCCAAGTCGAGTGACCCTGTGCCCATGGTGGCTAGCCTCACTGGCAGAGGACAGTTGGGGTCCCAGGGTCAGTATCTGCTGCCTCATTACCGTGATAGCACCTGTGATCACTGTTGACAGTGATCGGCCACCTGTGCTGTATGGACCAACCACGGCACAGTTCCTTCCAGAATCTAGGCCTTGACTTGGCCTCATGCCTATGTTGGGAGCCCACACTGTATTCGTGATGTGTACTCATGGAATGGAAGCCCTCTTGTACCATTGTTCTCACCCTACTTCCACATGACCTGAGTTACAGCCCACCTGCCTGTTCTTGCCGTTGAGTGCCCTGGTATTTTTATGACAAAGAAGACCAACTGGGGAAGTCAGATCCATGTTTCACCCCCAGAACTTTGTTCTAGTCCACCTCATCTCCACTTAAATACTCTGTCTTCTGTTTTCTTTCCAACCTCCATGTTCTATAGACTCTGAGCCCCTTTTGAAACCACAGCGCAATAGAACACTTGCCCAGGCTGATAGAAGGCCCCTGTCCCCTTTCTGTGCCCTAAGCACACAAAATAACTGAGTGAAAACTTTACCACAAAACCTCCCAGTGCTGCATCCTGACTTTACCTCCCTTACGTTCTCCTAATGCCGCTGTGTTTGCCCTGCCAGGGAGCGCTCCCCGTCCACACTGACTGGGAAAGTAAACCAGCTGGAGCTGATTCTCCGACAGCTGCAGACTGACCTCCGCAAGGTACAGTGACCCATGGAACCGCATGGTCAGAGCTCTCTCTTGCCCTGTTAACCCCTTCTAACGTGACAAATAGATTGAGGAGGCCCAGACAAGAGAACTGCCCTAAACAAAAGCCAGCAAGCAGAAAGGGGAGTCCTGTAGTCTACTCTTGTCTCCTAGCCAGCAACTGATGTATTTCTTCTTGAGGTCACAGGGATCCCAATAGATATGACTAAGGGGGGACAAGCCCTCCAGAGGGCCAGGCCTCAGGGTGAGGTGGGGTGTAGGAGGCCAGTAATTTTGGGTTCTATGAGATGTCACTTAACACTAAGCCATGTGTGTCTGAGAGCTCTGTCTGCTCGCTGGATCAGCTTCCTAGCCGTCGAAGCTGCTGCCCTGTATGTGCACCTTGCCAGTCAGTCCTCTGGGGAGTGAGGTCCTTCTTTCCACAAGCTCCTGCCAAACTGCATAACCACTGTCTGCGCTCCTCTAAATGCCCTTTATCCCCCAAGGAAGGAGAGGATGACCCAGGAAGCTTCCGTCCTGGCAGCATGGTTGGTTTTGGAAAGAGGAAAGAGGCTCTAGTGTGAATAGTGATGGGACTGATCGACCTGGGAAGGAAACGGTAACAAGGGTAAAGAGTGAACGGGTTGAGTTCTGATCCAGTGCAGAGAAGGAGCTGGTCTTGGAGCATGTCCATTGAGGCATGCATGCATGTCCATGTGTCTGTGAACTCATGTCCGTGTGTGTGTGTGCACACTCACAGTCCAGACAATTGGCAAGCTGTCGTCTGATGGTCTCTGAGCACAGGTGCTGGGAAGGCGTCGAGGCGGGTACAGGCCTGTGCTTGGTAGGGTTGCCATGAAGGCTGCCAGTGCATTCACATTGCAGCATGAGCTGATGTGTTACCTGTCACCAGACCTGCATGTTTTTCTCCAGCTCAGGTGCCCACCTGTCCACAGCAGAGATGGTGGGAGTGGTGGAAGGAAGGAGAGGGACCCAGGCTCCAGAGTCATCCACCAACATTGTGGGGGACCTGGGGACTGAGGACTCATGGGCAAAAAGAGTCTGGGGTCTCATCATCTGAGAGCAGGCTGCTCAGAGGAGCTGGGTGGGATTTCAGGGAGGAGCAGTGACCTGCACTGAGTGCCAGCCTAGCTGTTCACTGCTCAGACCCCCCATGAGATGCCAGGGACCAAGCTGTCAGACACTGAACTGCAGAGGCTGGCACCAGGGTTCAGCCTGGAGTGAGTCGTGAGGAGGAGGACAGTGTCAGAGCAGAGGTAGAGGGCACACTGACCAAAGCGAGTCCCTTGGGTCCCAAGGCCAGGTGTATAGGGTCATGGGCAGGTGGCACTGTGGCCGGGGGAGTGACTGAGGAGAGCAGGGTCTCAGGACTACAGCTGGCCTCACTTGAGGCCAGTCCTGAGTTCCCACTCCAGCTTCCTTTTAGGCCTGGGGACTTTCAGGGGGTGGAGGTAAGGCAGGTGGGACTGGGGAGAACATGAGAATGGATGGGGAACCAGGAGGTCACTTAAGCAGGGTGAGGCGTGGCAGGGTGGAAACAGCTCCTGAGCGGCTACAGCAAGTTGATGGTCAGTTAGGTCCCCCAGAATCACCAGCTGCTGCCATCTGACCTTGACCCTGCACTTGGGCAAGCATCCCTTTCAGCAGTGGGGAACCAAATCTTGTGTTGAAACTCCAGGTGTAACTGTCTTAAACACCTCGATTATTTGTAAGTGGCTTTGAGTGGGAGACTATAAAAGTTACCGTGGAAGTGCGTGCGTGTCCCTGTCACTGGTTGGCCTAAATGCAGTGAGAAGTGGAACGCTCACTTTGATACAAACGTCCCCAGCAGCCAGCTGATACCAGGTTTCCACAGTGAGCAGTGCTTGGGCAGCCTGCAAGGGATTTGCCTCAGCCTCTGACTGTGACATCCCCGTTCTGGACAGGAGTCACTTGAGCTCCGGTTAATGATGTGTAGCAGCCATCCAGTGCCCCAGAAGGTACAGTGGAGGGCACAGAAAGGCTGTGGGATTTCTCACCACCGCCATCTGTGGTTGGCAGAACCCAAGCAGGCAAGTCCCCAGGAAGTCAGCTAGTGCAGCGAGGATGAGGGAGCACATGGCCAGGCAGCCCCGTGACTGCTGTTTCTGCTCGCGCCAGGAGAAGCAAGACAAGGCAGTCCTGCAAGCAGAGGTGCAGCACCTGCGTCAGGACAACATGCGGCTGCAGGAGGAATCCCAGACCGCCACAGCCCAGCTGCGCAAGTTCACGGAATGGTTCTTCAGCACCATCGACAAGAAGGCCTGACCGCCTGGCCGCGCCTGGCCGCGGGCTGCACAACCCGCCTGCGTGGTTTTCCCATGTGCTTGCCGCCACCCGTAGACATTTGGCTGTCCCTCCTGTAGCGCCACTCACCCCAGCAGGACAGGGAGCCTGGACTCCTTCCAGGTACCACAGTGGGAGCAGCACCCGTGGGAAGATGAATGTAAGTCCTGGTGGAGGCGAATGGAGCTGGTGCCAGCTGAGAAGCCCCTGGCTGGGCTCCCCGGAGGAGGTGTGCCAGGCATCACCTCCTACCCCAGGTGACCTTCAGAGGTGGGAAAGCAGTGTACCATAGTGGGGCTTCAGCACTGTAAAATAAACACGGGCAGATACTGAGGCATATACTTAAATGTTAAAGGTGCTCTATTTTTTTGGATGTACAGCAGTTTTATTTCCACATTACCATAGCAATAAGAAGGGAGGCGTAGTACAGAGGGAGAAGCTTTGTCCTTCCAGAAAGCACTGGCGTGATTACCACTAGTTCGAAATGCTATTACTGTAGAGACTTATTTATTTTGCAGGAACAAATGGTGCCTGAATATTAACAGTGTTCTGATTTTTTTTTTAAAAAGATACATATGCTTTGTAAATGGGTCTACTTGTCAGTAGTCACTGCAGCTCGTAGTTCGCTTTTGTATAGTTGCTCTGCTGGAAGAAAAAAACCCTCCATCTGCTTTACTCACTAGAGCTCTGTGTGCTGAGAGCTGGCGGAATCCCGTGTACAGTGCCAGAATTGTCTGTCTTTGTACAGAAGCGCTGATGAAGTGTCTTGTATTTAACACCCCTATTTAAGCTTATTTAACCTTAAATTGTTAATTTTATAAGATGTGGTTTTATCTGCACTACGATAAGGGAGGCAGGCAGGGCCCGCTCAGCCACCCGAGCTCACCTGGGACAGACAGAGCAGGGGAGAAGTGAGAGACTGCTGCTGGTTACATGCTGTTTGTGTTGCTTTTCCATTTTTAACTGTTATATTTGAGATGAACATACATTTTGCTTTTTTTAATAAATGTTTAAAAGAAGTCCATATCAGCCACGCTGTTGTCAGGTGTCTGCAGTCTGGATATGAATTTGTTTTGGGTTGTTTAGGGTCATGATTGTATTAAATACCATTTGGCTGCCTTCTTAGAGAATCCCAAACTGATTTAACACTAAGTTAAGTGTATTTATTAGCAGGTGCTGCCGGCCAGACGCCCCTCTCTGGGCTGCTCCCCAACTCATGTAATCCTAATGGTGTCTGTGGTTGCTAGGTGCAGGGTCCCCATTTCACAGCCAGGTAAACTACGGCTCGTGTTAAGTAATTGACCTTCTGGGAGTTTTGGTGTTGTTTTTGTTTTATATTTGTTATTTGAGACAAAGTCCCACTGTGCAGGCCAAGCTGCCCTTGAACTCACTACACAGCCCAGGCTGGCCTCAAATGTGATCCTCCTGGCTTGGCCTCCCGAGGGCTGGGATGACAGACATGCACCATCATGCCTTACTCCTTTTGTTTTTTTAATTAGTGTCTTACTCAAAGAATTTGGTGTTGCTTACAAGAAAAATACATACAAAATAGTAGGAATTTGAAAAATAATCAGGAAGTGGTAAACCATAAGTTGGGATCAAGCATAGGACAGAAGACACGACATGGGTCCAGGTAGGACAGGTAAGATGGGAAGGAGGAACAGGCAGGTGCTTAGCTCCAATGGAAACCATGTCAAGAATTCCATGGAAGCAGAGCGATTCCTGAAATTTACTCAGAGAAGAATTTCTCACAGGGCTTCGTGGGAGCAGTGCGTCCAGCAGTGTGCTATGGACTGCTCCTCATAGCCTCCCTCCATGAAAGACACTGGACCTCCAAAATGTGCCCAGAGAGACATTGCGGATCAGGTAGTTCCTAGAGTAGATCCCATCTCCTCCCTCTCTTCCTTTTCTGTCATCGTGTGCCAGGAGCTGGAGATCCAACAGGGGTTAGGATCCCTGTGTTCGGGGCATGCAGTGTGACGTGGAGAGATGGAAATAAAGAGGGTGGTATGGGGTAGGGTGGGCCACTCTAGGTAAAGTGCTGACACAGTTGGAAAGGTCACTGGCTTCCAGGCACTTGAGCCCTTCTTTGTCTCACAGCAGCCCTTTGGGAGATGCTGTCATTAGACCCCTTTTAGAGATGAACTGAACATAGGTAGCATGGTCCATGGGCAGGAGAGTGGTACATGTACCAGAGACATGGGACTCTGAGGCCCAGCATGTCAAGGAACCCACTGAAGCAGGCTGTATGGGAAGGCAAAGTGGTAGGCGGGCTTAAGACATCAGCCTGAGCTGCATCATTAGGGGACAGTAGGCCTTGGTAGTGTGGAAGCAGGAAAGAAGCATGACGCCATCTGTGTTAAGTGAGTTGTCCTAACTTCTAAAGGAAAAAGGGCCACATGGGGCTTCAAACTCACTGTCCAGGGCATACAGTAAATATTTTAGGTTCCAGAAGTCACATGCTGTCTGTTACATATTTCACTTTCTCTATTTACTAAGCTTTAAGGATGGTAAGAGCCTGTCTTAGCCTGAAAGGCCATCCCAAAGCCCACCAGCACAGTTTGCCAGCCCTAGTTTAAAGGCCAAGGGAAGAATCAGAAGAACAATGTAGGTGAGAGGTGGTGCAAGAGAAGCCAGGTGATGTGGAGTTGGAGGTGGAGATCACGGAGCTGCGGTGGGCTGGACACAGGAAAGGAGGAGAAATTTGATCCAGGACCCGAACTCTAGAATAATGGATAAACTGTGCCCCGTGAATATTTCTTGCCCTTAGTGAGAACTTAACAGGCAGTTATGTGCCTGGCAAGGGCTTGGGACACAGCTCTCTGGACCACTGATCAAGAACAGGTACATTTGCTATGGAGAGCTAGATGAAGGTTAACTAATGGGTTATAGAGAAAATAAAGGAATCTGACCAAAACCTACCTGAATGGAGAACCCTCCACCTTCTTAAGGCATTTCTGGTGAAAAGACCAGGAGATATTTTATATAAAACAGTTCTCAGTCTATATGAACAAAAGAATGAGTAATCTCTCAAATTCATCTCCAGAGGGTCACACCAGAACACATAGCCAATATTTTAGTCTGCTAAATTCTTCAAAGGAATATTTCCAGTTAACAACCACCCCATCGAAAGCCCCACTGGGCATTGAAGAAAACATTCTTGGTTACAAAACACTCCTTAACAACTAAACATGCTGACTTGCTGTAAGGACCTGCTGGTACAAACTAAATATTGGGCTGTCTCCTAAAAGCGACTTTTATCTTAGAATAATTAAGCAGGTATTTTTTTCTCGCTGGGTGGAGTGAACTGTTACGAGGCCATTCTCGCGTGTGACAATTGAAGCTAATTAGCATGTTATTCCTGCCCTCCTCTGTAGCAGGGAAAGGGCTTATTAAAAATAGAAGTCGCCATTGAGGAGAGGAGTACAGTCCTACCATGCTTGGTTTCTTGCAGTTATCTTTTGAAATGTCAGGACGACCTGGTCCCACTAGCCTGTTAAAATGCAAAGTCTGTCTGCATCTGATTCAGGAGTGGTCGCCAGACTCAGGAAGCTAGAGTCACAGCATCTCACTTGCAGAGCCAAAGACCAAAGAGGTGGCCCAGGCTGTGAGAATGAAGGTCTGGACTGCAGCCAGGGTGGGAGGGCTTAGATGGGAAGGACTTGCTCCCGGTGCAAACCATCACCTGAGAGACCTGCAGCTGGCTTAGGGCGAGAACTGACAGGAAGTTGAGCTCAGGTGGACTCCTGGTTTGAGAAGCTATAGAGATCACTTCTTGAAGAGCTGACTACTCACTTCCAGCCGGATGGAGCTCTCCCTCCAGCCACCATTTAGCTGAACCCTCCACTTTCCCATGGCTGTCATCACACCACCTCACCACCAATGCACTTGAGTGGACCTTGTAAGGGTCAAAGGCCCACATGGTCAGTCCAGCCCTGGAGCTATTAAATAGTCCAGGTCCTTAGAAACCAAGCAAGTGTGCACTGTTCATCATCCCCAGGACAGGGCAGGAGGAGGTGACAGACTTCACAGAGCTTTGCTCTGAAGGAAACTATTCCTGTTCCTTTGAGTCTTGGCATGACTTTGCACTTAGAAATTGAAACCACTACCCCAGTTCTGGTGTGAGAATTTCAAGCACATTGCTTTCACCAAGAAAGTCACTGGAGATGAATGGGTTTGATTCAACACCTGGTTAGAGTTGGGTGGGAGAGAAAACGGGAAGAGACTGAGATGTGCCAAAACCCTAGGGTTGCACAGGACCTGTGACCTCCAAATTAACCCACACACTGAGCTTCCTGACTTCCAACACTAGGAGTTAGGCAGATTTTGAGCACAAAATAACTTGTCTCCTGTATTTAGTAAAAGGTTTAGATGAGCACACCTCCCAAGGGTCACATTCTTGCATTTGGAGATTTTTAAGTTGCTTCAAAAAAACCTAAGCAGAACCCTGCCATTTCTTTACAGAGAGTCACTGGCTTCTTAAATTCTTACACAGTCTTTACTCACCTGTCGTACTGGAAATCCTGCAGTTTCCCAGCCATGACATCAGGACCTGCCTTCAATTTGCAAAGCAACCAGGCTTTTCAGAAGAGCAAATGAAGAATAATTAACCCCCAACATGGAAAAATGCCCCTTGACGGCTGAGCTGTCCCCAAGTTCTTGAGGAGCAACGGTAGGGGCCAGACTTCTGCTGCCCTGGCCATTAGTGCCAGTCAACACTGTGAGACACTGGAATCGGAGGTTTGGTTGTGTGGGTATCTGCTGCTTTCCCATGCCCTGTGAACCCCACAAGGACAGTGTGCAGGAGGGTCCAAAGTGTCAGCATTTCAGCAAATGATAGGAACCAGCGCTGGCATAAACACATCTGCAGATGGAGCGTTCAGACCCTGGCAGACTCTCCACCGCCACTGTGCGTAAAATAAATGGGTCTTCACCCCTCTTCCCACGACCATAATGACTGCTGGCAAGCCAAGCGGATCCAGCCAAATGCTCCATTACTTTGGAATAATTAAAGACAGTGGTTTGTGTTCCCCTCTAGGGTCTGCCTGAGCACCTTGTGGAACCCCGTCTGGGCTGAGGGCTTGTCAGACAGCAGGCTGCAGCCTGTGAGCCCCTCTTCCATGCAGGTAGAATGTAAGGCTGGGCGTCCTTTCTGTGAAGTCCTGGAGAACTCAGCTAACACTGCCCATGGGAAGAAGTGGCCTCTCCTGTAACAGGGCACAGAAGCCAGCCCATCTAGCCCTAGCCCCCACTTCATTCTCTGTATTGTTACTCTTGAGGTACCTGGAGTCCATGTTCAGCCACCAGCTCTGCTAAGCACTTCATCTCTGGTGGTTGTGAGGGGATGGCAGGAAACCCTCAGTGAGTGAGGCTGGCTTAAGGAGCCACACTACCATCCTAACTCCACTTTGAAGCTCTGACACTGAGCTTCCCTCAGGTTCTGTCCCTTGAAAGCAACAGCCTCAAGTGGTTTGTCCTACACGTGACACTGAACTGGACTTGGCTGTTCTGTTTACGGTCACATTGCTTAAGCGTTATTCCTGCAAGTGACACTGACTTCCAAACGCAGAATTATGTCGCCATGTGAGGGCTGGTCCTGTAAGAATCCCACCTTCACCTTCCTGAAACCTGCCACTCAGGTGCGTGAAGATGGTTGTACCACACGAACATATTAGGCTAATGGACATGAGGATCAAGGCAATTCCAATTTAGGGTATAGACCCAAAGGAATTGTAAATAGAATCAAGGAGGTAATTGTGCACTTATTAGTCACAACAGCCAAAAGGTGGAGACAACCCAAATACCTGTCAACAGGTGATGTGAGCAGAATGTGTGTATCTGTACACAGAATCGTACTCAGTCTCCAGAAGGAAGGAAATTTTGATGTATGGTTAATCTTTCGGACATTGAGCTAACTGAAGAAAGCCAGTCACGCAGGACAAACACAGGGAGATTCCATTACAGGAGGTG